TCATATGATTGTTGGGTTTTTCTCTGTATCTATGAAGCGCCTTGAGGCGACTTTTGTTGTGATTTGGCGCTATATAAATAAAATTGAATTGAATTTGTTGAGTGCAGCTGTGATGAGTGACGATGGTTTGATCCTAGTTTATCCATCAGTGTGTGTGTTAGATAAGTGACTTACATATAGAAAAGACACCTGCATGAGCAGGTGAATGATGCGAGCAGTAAAAGGTGCTTTGAGTGGTCGGTTGAGATGTTGAACAGCGTCTATCTAACAGTAACTCCTCAGTGTCACGCGGTGGGCTGGTTGACCTTTACAGATGGTGTCGTAGCGTGATGAGCATCAGTGGCTGTTTCTCTAACAACCCTGGTGTGTGTGTGTCATGGTGAACATCAGGCTGTGAGCAAAATCAGGTCGTCCTCTAACGCTGCATTTTTATGCAGTAGGTTCATTTTATGTGTGAGACCGAGCTCATCCTCACTGAGCAGCATCATGTGAGCTTCTGCTCTGGTGTTCGGTTTATCTCAGGATCAGGAATACCGTGAGCTTTGAATTCCTAATATTCTAAGTAGGGATCTGGATATAGAAACGTCACCATAGATCAGTCCTGCTAGCTTGAACATAAAAGCACATCATCTTCTCCCTCTCTGAAAGCACAGACGCTTTATCAGCAGCACAGTTGATTCACCTGATGCAGCAGATATGGCGTCTTATCAGGTTATCCATGTGTGCTTAATAAGAAAAGGCAAATAGTCGCCGTGTTGATCCTGCAGATCAGGACGTGTTCCTGTGCTCGGGCACAGCTCAGCAGCTCGTTAGGAAATCACTGAGGTGTTGAGCGTGCGCTCACAGACTGATTATAGCAGGATTGATGTAACTGTGTGATTAACACAGGACGTCCTTTCTTTCAGAATCCAGAAGGAGCTGGCAGAGATCACCTTGGACCCACCGCCGAACTGCAGGTAGGAGCCTGTGTGTGTGTGTGTGTGTGTGTGTGTGTGTGTGTGTGTGTGTGTGTGCTGCACTGTTAGGATCAGTGTAGCGACCGTGTTGTGCTCGTGCGTGGCTCATTCTCCTCCCCAGCGAGGGCCCGTGTGTTGCTGCTTCGGCCACTTTGTTTGTTCTGTTTGTCTGAGTCAGCAGTTTGTGTTCGTATCTTCCAGCAGGAGCGTTACGTAACGCTACTTTAGTGTTAGGTGGAGGAGCGCTGTTAAAGCAACACGCTGGAGCCGAGCGAGCAGCACGTTGGTAAAGTCCCGGCATTTCCTGCAGGCCTGAAGCAGCGGCGATGCGCGTGAGCTCCTGAGCTAGCACGCAGAGGAGCTGGCTGTACCATCCTTCATAGCTCGGTTCACATTTCAAGTCTATAAATGTGAAACTACTAATACTCTTAAACAGCTGACACCTGAGGTTTGCTGAGTAATGGTGGAAAGATATGGACTGTGTAAAATAATAATAATAAGTCCGTCCATCCACTCGTCTTCTTCCATTTCTTCATCCTGAGCTGGGTTAGCAGCCTGCTAACTGCATGGCTAACACGTGACAGAGAGACATGCACACTCTAACAGTGGCCTAATTATGGACACTAGTGGACGTGGCACAATAGTGATTAAACACACATGCTTTTCTGGATATTGTGATAATGTGGACTGTATCATGGATGCAGATCATTACTATAATAATGTGGTGGGATCATAGCAGAAACAAAGCTGAGAAGACACATCATTAAAGGACCGTTTGTCTCATGTTTTCTCACGACAGCAGCAGAGTGGAGCTGAGTGTGCATCGCTCTGTGACTCCTGCGTTAATATCACCTGTTACTAGGGGTGAGCGATAGAAACGATTTACGATAGAAACGATATAAATTTGGCCAACGATAGAGATTTTGACTATATCGCTCTATCGCGATAGCGCATGTTGATGATGTCATCAAGCTGCGCCTGTTTTGGTCGAAAGCATCGCAGCGGCTACAACAATTATCATCTGCAGATTATGCCGACAGTCACAGCAAAGAGATGAAGCACTGTTGAAATATGGGGAAAGCCAAAAACTGCGCTTCCTTCACTTCCGTAACATTGATTCATTAATGTTGAATTCTCTCGCAGCTG